TCAGTTCTCGGCCCCACTCTATTCACACTCTACATCATGGGTGTCAAACTCAAGGCCCTAGGCCCAAATCCGCCCCGTGACTTCCTTTTCTGTGGCCCCCACAAGAGCTGGCAAAGAATATTATATGTTTATTATACAGTTACATGATGATTTACAGAAGCACGTTGCCCCATAAAATACATGTCTCACAATGCATCTCAAATTAGACTTTTTTTCTCAGAATTGGACCTTTTTTCTTCTAAATATCCCTTTTTTCTTAGAATGGGCCCTTTTCTCAGAATGTGACTCTTTTTTTTTCCGAATTTGGCTTTTCTTTTTAAATTATTTTGTGACATTCTCACTGACTTGCAATTATTTGCCCCAAAATTAACTACGTCTGAAAGCAGAAGTCTGAAGTTATTACCCTATCTGATAATAATCAAATGCAGAGGCTATCATGTAATATAATACATTATTTTATATTTTTATATATGTATTTTCCTATAAACTTAAAGTTACAACTGGCCCTTTGAGTGCAGCCATAATGCTGATGTGGCCCGCGATTAAATTTAGTTTGACACCCCTGCTCTACATGCTCCCACTTGGCTCTATCATCAGCCGACATGGAGTATCATTCCATTGTTACGCTGATGACACCCAACTGTAGCTCAGGATCAACCCTACCTCCTCTGCAGCCCTGCCTTCACCCACACTTGCTGCCTGCCTGGAGGAGATACAGGCGTGGATGAAGCAAAACTTCCTGAAACTGAACAGCTCCAAGACCGAAGCCATTATAGTTGGCACCCCACACCAGGTTCGGTCATCCACCATCACCACCATCACCTTCTCCGGCCAGGACATTACCCTCTCCTCAATAGTCACCAACCTGGGTGTTAAAATGGACGCCCATCTGACCTTTGAGGCCCACATTAAACAGTTGTGCAAGAACTCCTTTTATCACCTCAGGAACATCGCCAATCTCCGCCCCACACTCACTCTGTCTGACGCCGAAAAGCTGGTCCACGCCTTTGTCTCCTCCAGGCTGGACTATTGCAATGCACTCCTCATCGGGATCCCTAACAAAAGCATCCAGAAGCTCCAGTGCATTCAAAACAGCGCTGCTAGGATCCTGATGACTGTGCGCAAATACCATCATATCACCCCCATCCTTAAATCACTGCACTGGCTCCCCGTAGAACTGAGGATTGAATACAAGGTCTCCCTCCTCACCCACCAGTGTATCCATGGAACTGCCCCCCCCCCCTAC